GGGATGGGAGTGTCAGAGACAGTGCGATTGGCACAGGACAGAGCGGAGTTTAGGGCTGTTGTACATAGGGTCGCTAGGCAGGCGACTCGATGGCACATAACAACAGCAACAACATATCTCACTTAAATTTAGCAATTTTCAAAAATAAATAAAAAGTTAGCAATTTTCAATATAGATTTGATGCATTGATCATTAGTGATCAAAGATCAGACAAATTGTGGGATGACATGAAGGACATCAGACAGGAAGGAAAGAAAGAAAGAACCAAAATATATTTCAGAAGAAATTATGAAACTTGCTGATTTTTTCTTCCCTATTTTTTAATATTTTTTTCATTGTTGCACATTTCCTTGTTTCTCTCTTTCCCCTCCCCCACCTCACCCCACAGTGCACCCCTTGTTTCAGATTGTTTTCCTACTGCAGCTTTCTTTTGAACAAAGAATAAAGCCCACAGAAGATGATGCAGGCAGGCAAAGATTTTAAACGGCAAGGTGAGAAGAACAAAGTAAATAAAATGTGCAAAGACCTGGAGTTAGAAAACGAAGAAAGTGGAACATACTTGGCATTTCTCAAGCTTAAAGAAATGGAAAAAAAGCCTTGAGTTGCAATATTGAATGATTCACTGGCCAAATACAGAACAGCAGAGGCAACGTGAAAAAGATGAGTCCTACACAGTCACTGCGCGAGAAGGAGTTGGTCAGCACTGATTCATTTCCAGAGGTAGCATATGGTCAAGAACCAGTGGTACTGAAGGAAGAAGTCCAGACTGCAGTGAAGACATTGGCAAAAAACTAAGTGTCCAGGGACTGACAGAGCGCTAGGTAAAATGTCGCAGAAGACAGCTGCAGCTCTGGACGTGCTCACTAGTCTCTGATAAGTCTGGAAGATGGTACCTGGCCATCCAACTGGAAGAGAGCCGTATTTTTGCCCTTTACCAAAAAAAGGTGGTACAACAGCAAATGCAAATTATCAACGGTACCATTACCCACAAGAACATTTAGGTTGAAGATTATCAGAAGCAGTTGCAAACAAAAAATAACCAGAAATTCAAGCTTGACTCAGAAAAGCACATGAAATAAGGGATATCATTGTTGATGCCAACTGGATCTTAACTGAAAACAGAGAATACTAGAAAATTGTTTGCCTGTGTCTGATTATGCTAAGGCTGTTGACGTTATGGATTACATTGCAAAGGATAGGATTTCTAGAACACAACACTTGATGTTCTGGAAATATATACATATAGAACCCATATGCATGTATGGAAATCCAGAAATATCTAGAAACTATATGTACACCAAAAAGCAGTGGTTTGAACAGAATAAGGTGTGGTTTAAAGTCAGAAAGATTGGATCAGGTATCAGGAAGGTTGTATCCTTTTTCCATTCTTACTCAGTTTTTATGTGGAGAAAACAATTTGAGAAGCTGGACTATATGAAGAAAAATGTGCTATCAATTTTGGAGGAAGATTGACCTGTCACAGGTAGATGGCACAATTTTGCTTGCTGAAAGCAAAGAGGACTTAAAGCACTTGGTGAAGACTATCAAAGAGTACAGCTTTCAATATGAATTGCACTTCAGCATGAAGATGACAGACCAATAAGCAACATCATGATAAAGTCTGAAGTTGTTAAGGATTTTGCTTTACTTAGCTCTACAGTTAATTCCATGTTAGACAAAATCAAGACTTAAATAACATTGATTCTTGACATTCATCAAATGCATTGGGCAAAGCAGGTGCAGAAGACCTCTTGAAAGTGTTAAATGTCAGAATGTTCCTTAGAAGGGAGGGAGGATAGCGCAACCATCTTTATCCTTTGGATGTGTCGCAGGTGTGTGATGTAGGTAAGTTTGTGTCACAAGGTGTGACTAAAGGAGTGTTTACGCCTCAGGTGTATCTGTAGAGCACTTGTGCCACAGGGGTGTGGGAAGGCGTGCTTGTGTCGCAGGGGTGTGAGCATTTGTGTGGCACGGTGTAAGGTCTGCAGGAGTGTGCGTAACTGCAGTGCAGGAGGATTGGAAGCAGCTTGCCTTGACTCCCTGTGTTTGCCACATTCACATCAGGGCCAGAGCCCACACCGCAGGCTCTTCTAGAGGCTGAGGTCTGAGCCCTGGGTTTTGCGGGCTCTGGGCCACCTGCACCCTGCGTGGTCCTCTCGCCAGGCTCGGCTCCCTGGGTTGTGGCCGCCCTCCTGAGGTGTACTCACTCGATAGAACCACTTTGATCAACACTGATCCCTGCCCGCTCTATTGCGTCTGTCTCCTTCACTCACCTGCCTCGCCTGCATGTTCTCTGGGTGGAGCCCTGGCCAGTGTCTGTGGCTTAGGACCCAGCTCAGTGAATGTTTTAGTAAAATAACTGATGCCATCTAGGTTGGAGTAAACAAGAGCTTCAGAGTGTCCCTAAACCCTCGAGATCCCTCCCCATTGTGTCACTGCATTTTGTGTTTCTGTGTCTTGTCAGGTGGTAGATACTTGATGTATGTGGGATTGGGGCGGGGGGCTTCCTCCTATTTGACTGCACTCACCTGTGCAGTGTCCTCAGGTCTGTGTGGACCTGGGGTCATGTGGGGACATCACTTCTCTTCATGGCTGTGCAACCTCATTGTGTGCGGACCTGAGTGTCCTCCCATGTCTCAGGGATGTCCAGGCTGCTTCCATCTTAGTCCTGCAGAAAGCACTGGTGTACTTGTGTCTGTGTACCTTCCACGCACCCTATGCACTGAAGGTGAACGGTCCCATGTCAGGGCCATGCTGCTGTTCGGGACAGTGGCTTCGGTCCCTCCCAGTGTGCATGATGTGGTCTGGTCAGGTCCCCAGCCACCCTTCCTGCTCCTGCTGGCCATGTGGCCATTGCTCAAGGCTTGGTGAGATGATTGTAGCAGAGGGCAGGAAGGAGGGCAGCCTTTAGAGACAGGTCTGCTTCCTGAGGTTGGGCTTTGTGGAAATGCCATGGCATGTTTTGCTGTTTTTAGTCCTTGGCATTGATTAAAAGTGCTGTCACTTTACCTGTCAGAAATTAGATTTTAGCTAGTTAGGTAATGAAGTCATTAAACGCAGGGACAGTCTAGGGGATAGTACGTCCAGGCAGTAAATGGCAAGCCCCTGGTTACTCTCTGCCTCTGAAAAGGTTAATTTAAAAACACTCCTTCAAGATGGGATAAATAATGTATAGTGCATTGAAACAGATGAGGGAGAAAACTATTTAAAAGGGACATGTGATTAGGTATTATTGTCATGATAGGAGTCCAGAGCAAAGGCTAAATAGTGGAGTGGACCTCGGGGGAGGGATTATCACAGTGAAGAATTTTTTCTTTTCAAAGAGGCGAGTCTACTGGAAGGGGGGGAGGGAGAAAAGTGCAACAATGAATAAATATAAATTCAAAGTCTCTGTAAATTTTCATTAAAATTAATAAATTAAAAAACAAACAGAAACACTCCTTTGTGTAGACAGTGGAGATGTAGCAGAGGTTGGGTCTGCATGTGGTCTGACTGTCCCCTTTTCCTTTTAGAATGTATGACAGCATGTCCACCATGGTGTACATAAAGGAAGACAAACTGGAGAAGCTCACGCAGGATGAGATCATCTCCAAGACAAAGCAGGTCATCCAGGGCCTGGAAGCGCTGAAGAATGAGCATAATTCGATCCTGCAGAGCTTGCTGGAGACACTCAAGTGCTTGAAGAAAGATGACGAAAGTAACCTGGTGGAGGAGAAATCCAGCATGATCCGCAAGTCGCTGGAAATGCTGGAGCTTGGCCTGAGCGAGGCGCAGGTAAGGACGGGTGGGCGGCAGCAGCCTCAGTGTCACCATTGCGAACAGGAAGATGTGCTTTCAGAGAGGTGTTTTAAGTCAGGCCCAGGTCCTTGTAGGATAACAGCCTCTGATACAGTGTATGTCTCAAAGTGATGTAGAAATGTCAGTCTGTACAAAGCCCCTGTGTGTCACTGAGGGTGTCGTTCCGCTGCGTGTGTAAAACCAGATGGCGGATGAAGGTGCACATGGTAGTGTGTGTTCCATGAAGCAAACACTGAACTTGCTCTTTCAAGAAGAGTTCAGTGGCTGCACCCTGAGAGGCTTCCCACCACCCCCCCTGTACCCTTACGGGCTTCCCACTACCACACCTCACACCTTGGGAGGTTCCCCTTTACCTCATACTCTGACATACTTCCCACTACCACGTCCCGCACCCTGACAGGTTCTCCACCACCACACCCTGCACCCTGATGGCCTCCCCACCACAACACCCTGAATCCTGACAGGTTCCCCACCACGCTTGGACAGGCTCCCTCACCCAGCGCCACCCCCTCACAGGCTCCTCACTACTATGTCGCACACCCTGACTGGCTCCCCACAACCACACTCTGCACTCTTGACAGGTCCCCCATCCCACTGCATTGATAGGCTCACCCACCTAACACCACCCCCTAGAAGGCTCTTCTCACCCATATATGTTAAAAGGCTCCTCTATCCCCACACATCCTGACAGACTTCCCATCCCCATCCCCTTCGGGCCTATGACGGGGAGAGGCCTGGTCTGCTCGAGGGTCAGGAAGGACATGCGTGGTGCTGCTCCCTGAGGCCTCTCCTGGTGTTGAGCATGTCTGCTGGTGGAAGGGACCCCGCCTGGCTGGGAGGGACTCTTGTCCCCTCAGCTGAGGCTTTTCTGTCTAGATAGGAGGGAGGCTGGGTGCTCTCGGAATGCCTGTACGGCGTGTGCGCCGAGGCCTGGTGCCCGTCACACCAGGCACCAGTGAAAATGCTGACAAGGTCGAGGCTCATTGCTCTTCCTCTCTCCTGATAGCTGTGGGCGCTGCTGGCCCTGCCTGCCTGTCTTAGGTAAATGGGATGCCCGTGCGGCCCCTCTTGGACTCATGGGATGCAGCATTGAGTGAGGCCGTGAGGGCACTGTGGCCACTTCTGTCTTCCTCTTGAGGCAGAGTGGCCTGGGTGTCCTGACCCCAAGGTTCTGCCTCTCCTTGTGGCAGGCGCTGAGGTGACACTTGAACTTTGTCTGCATCTGTGTGTCCACCGTTCCTTGTGCTCTGTTGTTGCAGGCGATGTGAGTGTCCTGCCCTAGTGTCGCGGATAGTAGCTTTCAGAAATCAGTAGACCCATTTGAGGCTTCTGGTTGTGAGCCTGGAAATACGATGGCTGAACTTGACCTAGGGACAGAACAGACTGAAGCCAGTGAGCTCTCCCCCTTTTTGCTCATGTCACTAAGGGTCCTGAGGCAGGTCTGGTGCTGGGTTAGTGAGTGGGCAGACGGGACGTGCAGCTCGCCTCATGGCCCACGAGACCCAGTGGACGCTGTGCAGACTCCCTGTTGGGTGTGGATGCAAACACTCCTTCCTTTGCCTGAGTGAGTGTGCCGCTCTCCTGTAGCCGTGAGCAGCTCTGCACACCCATGTGTGCACACACAGGCATGTGCACACGGGCATGTGTACATGGGCGCGCACGTGCTGGTACATACACACACAGGTGCACGTACGCATGAGCACGTATACACATAGATGAATACGGGTGTGGATACACACACAAGGGGAACACGCGGGCACACACCGGGCACGGAGGTGTGCACCCCGGGCGCGAGGGCGTGCAGGGGTGCACGCTCTGATGTCCACATGGGCATGGGCACACACGTGGAATGCCCTCTCCCGTCAGTTTTTTCCAGAAACTGTTTGGGAGCAAGGCGATGCCCTGAAAAGAGGCCAGCAGTAGCTTTGTGCCACGGTCGTGATCCTTGGCCCCCCTGAGGCCAGGGCCTCTCATGATCCCTCCTCTTCCCTAGTTGTGTTCCCTCTGTCTTTGACTCTGTCAGCTGAGAACCCACTAACGGGGAATGCAGTCTGTCCCGTCTGGAGCCTGTGATGGGAGGGTAGAAATAGTTCCTCACAGAGACACGAGAGAAGATGCCTGTGGTGTTGGTGGGGTGTGTCTGTCAGTCCTACATGCTATGCGGGAGGACAGCAGTGATGCGCCTCTTTGCAGGTGATGATGGCATTATCCAATCACCTGAACGCCGTGGAGTCTGAGAAGCAGAAGCTGCGTGCCCAGGTGCGCCGTCTGTGCCAGGAGAACCAGTGGTTGCGGGACGAGCTGGCCAACACGCAGCAGAAGCTGCAGAAGAGCGAGCAGGCCGTGGCCCAGCTGGAGGAGGAGAAGAAGCACTTGGAGTTCATGAATCAGTTAAAGAAGTATGACGACGACATCTCTCCCTCCGTGAGTGGCCTGTGTGTGCTCGGTGTGGCGTGTGCTGCTGCTGACGGAGGGGAAGTGGGCTCTGTCCCCTGTGGTGTTGGCCTCGCGGGAGAAGGTTGTGGGCTTGGCTTTGAGTCCCTCAGTCACTGTGTCCTGGGCACGTCCCCTTGGCTCTCATCACCATCCATCCTCCTTCCTCTGGTTTGTAGGGTGATGATCAGCAAAGGTGAACTCCTAGTAGCTCTGAGGCACCGCCCTTGGTGGTCCACGTCACCCCACTCTGCTGTTTCCTCCTTGGCTAGACCTTAAAACAAACCTCTGTGGTCAGTTGATTGTGACTGACCAAGCGGGCTGCCCTGTGGGGTCTCTCCCAAGGCTGTCAGTGACCCGACTCTGACGGCCAGGTCTTCCTCTAGCTCTGCTGCCTGAAGTTCCTCACCAGGGCAGTGTTTAAAGCTCCACTTCTCCAGGGCCCTTTAGAGCAGCTTGAGAGATCAGAAGTGGGCTGTCTGCAGACTAGAGGGTCCGAGTCAAGGGTCACGGTCCTCTGCCGTCAGGACTCGGGAAGCACCTTCCTTATCTCACCGCTGGTGCCCCACCTCTATGAGAGGCCAGCAGCAGGGAGCTGAACTGCCTTCCCTGGGGACCCTAGAGGCACAGTTGAGTCCGCAGAGGTGCCCTGTCCTCTGTCCTGCAGGAAAGAGCAGCGCTGTCCCTGTCTGCTTTTCTGTGGGTTTTTTTGGCACGGGTCGGGGTGTGGAGCCCTGGTGCTCTGGGCAGGAGCTTGGCTGCCAGCTGAGAGGGTAGTGGTTTGAACTCACTAGCCCCTCTTTGGGTGAAGAAGTGGCCGAGCTTTCATAAAGACCATGGCCTTGAGACTGACGCTAACTCAACTCAGTGAGCTGAGGTGTTGATGCTGAAGGATAAGCCACGTGCCCAGAGCTCAGTACTTGATCTTCACGGGAGGGCTTCCCTTGCTGGGGATGGCGCTGCACTGCGGTTTGCAGTGCAGGAGTCCTAGTGCATGGCAGCCTCTGAGTGTCCCTCTAAATCTGTCTCGCAGGACGACAAGGACAGTGATTCCACCAAAGAACCCCTGGACGACCTTTTCCCGAATGATGAGGACGACCCCGGCCAAGGCAGTGAGTGTCATGGGGACAGCTGTCCCTGGGCAGGGATGCGGGCAGTCCCTTACCGACAAGCATCCACGCCTCATCTCCTCCTTGCCGTTAACACAGGCAAGTTCTGGCCCATAGAGTCAAGCAGGAACAGACGTGGAGTTGTAGTTTGCATTATGTTGCTGTGGTAACTGAAGGTACCTGGTCACAGCTTGAGTTCTGGGTCAGGCTCGTGGGGAGGGTTTGAATGCATGGTGCGGTCCTGGTAGAGTGGGGGCTGCAGCAGGCACCTCTTTGATTTGCTTTAATATTCTGTACATTCACTTTGAAACTGTGAAACATTCTGCCTCAAACATTGCTCATCGTGGTAGCCTTCACTTTGAGCCTCTTCCCCACTAAAGTGGGGAGCTCTTGGCCCCTGGCGCCTGGCTCCGGCTCAGCTGAGCCGCAGGTTCTTAGAGCGTGAGGATGGTGGGTGCAGACGGCGCTCAGTCCCTAGGGCAGCAGGTGCAGGGACAGTATGGACCCAGGCGTGGTTCTCACTGTGCATGAGGTCAGGGGCTGCCACGAGACTGGCCATCATGATGCTGAGGGTGTCCCCCCGCCACAAGTGCCCAGTACTGCCCAGCTCGTGTAGGGGTCTGCCATGGACAGCATAGGCCAGCCGCCCTGAGTGACAACCAGGGACAGTGGCCTCGCAGTCCTCCAGCCCTCACATGCAGCCTGTCCTCACAGTCCAGCAGCAGCACAGCAGTGCAGCGGCCGCTGCCCAGCAGGGTGGCTACGAGATCCCAGCGCGCCTGCGGACGCTACACAACCTGGTCATCCAGTATGCGTCTCAGGGCCGCTATGAGGTTGCTGTGCCCCTGTGCAAGCAGGCCCTGGAGGACCTGGAGAAGACCTCTGGCCACGACCACCCCGACGTGGCCACGATGCTCAACATCCTGGCCCTGGTCTACAGGTAGGCCTCTTTGTTTCATGTTCTCCCTGGTCTACAGGTAGGCCTCTTTGTTTCATGTTCTGGAAGGCTCTCTAACCTGTTTTATAGTCTGCTCTTCTCTTTAACACCCAGGGTTAAAATCTCGGTGTTCGGCCAGTTCTAGGCTGGGCTGGTGCCTGTCGGGTGGATGGTTGCTGCCCATGTTGCTTCTCTGGACACTGCATCGCTCTGCTCTGGAGACACTGTGATTTCTTCCCGGATGTGTCTGCCTCAGGCTTCTCTACTTAGGGCTCCTCTTAACTCCTGCCTCTCTCTGTGCCCCCACCCATCGTGGTCCCTTCACCCATCATTGTCCCCTCACCAGTCACGCGGTCCCGCCTGCCTGTCATTGTCCTCCCGCCTGTCAAGTCCTATCGCTCATACATGTGGACACCCCCACCCATCACATGGTCCTCCTGCCCGTCCATACGGTCTCTCCCGTCATGTGGTCTCCCCACCTGTCACATGGTTGCTCCCCGTCATGTGGGCCTGTCACTGTCCTCCCCACCCATCACTGTCCCCTTGCCCGTCACACAGTCCTCCTGCCTGTCACTGTCCCCCGGTGCCCATCATGTCGTCCCCCACTTGTCACACACACTGTACCCCTACTGTCACGTGGTCACTCCACCCAACTTGCTGTCCCCCCACCCACCTCTGTCCCTTCTGTCTGTCATGGTACCTCCTGCCTGTCGAGGTCTCTCTTTCAAGGCTCAGTGTGTCAGAGTCGAGGCTCCCACTGTCCATCCCCCCGCCCCTTTGACTTGCCTTCTGCCCTTCTGCTCAGTGCTGGACCACCTTGGGTCTGTTCCTGCTTCAGTTCTTGGTGCTGCTCCACTGAGGCCCCCATGGAGGGATGATCTGTGGAGAGTGTGGATGGCCCCGTGTACAGAGGGACTGGTGAGGGACAGAGGGAGTGGTCCTGGGGATGACAGGACCAGGACGAGGGTCTGCAGCCAGTGTTTCCCCACAATTCTCTGTGGGTTTCTTTGTTTTTCTTGGTTTTATTATTTCAACTCAACGTGTCTTGGAAAGCTAATGTGTGAATAAGCTTCTGGACCTCATGGGAGGTGTGATTTCTGCTTGGAGAGAACCTAGAGCATGGAGCATGGACAGGACAGTCGAGTGGCATTGTCTCGCCCAAGCTTGCCAGCCAGCAGGGCATACCTGTGTGGACTGTGCCGGGCCAGGCCTCGGGTGGCATGTGGGGCAGGGGATGCTCTGGGCACTGGGTCTTCCCAGGCCTCAGCGTCCTGGTGTCTGGAACTAAGGCACTTGTGTTGACATATTCAGAGCCCCAGGGCAATGTGACATGTGGCTGTGTCTACAGATGGAAGCTATTCTTGGAGCATTATCTCAGTCTGTCCTAAAGGAACAAAGAGCCCCGGTTCAGCTGTGTGCTGTTCATACCCCTCCATGATTAGAGACCGGCATGCTAAGCGTACTTGTAGAAGCAGGAGTCGCTGGGTTGAGCTGATTCTGCCAGGTAGGGCCTTCGGGAGGAAATGGAGAAGCCCCAACAGCCCGGAAAGGTTTCAGCGAGTGGAGGTGGCTCTGCTGTATTTGGGTGGCTCTGTGGTACATGCACAGGTTAGGCTGGGAGGAGGTGGGCCTGGCCGAGGAGGCCCCATGGGCCCCACTCAGAGGCAGGGCAAGTAGCTGACACTGGAGTTTGGTGGGATGGTGGCTGGAGCTTGGAGGTAGTGATCAGTTAGGGAGCCTGTGGGTGATAATGAGAACCTCAGCAAGGACAGGGGTGCTGGTATGGAGGTTACAAGGCCAGAGATACCGGAAGAGAAGTGGAGTGAAAGTCACACGTCTCTGGGGGGATGATTTTCCAAAGTCTTTTTATCCATTAGTGGAGTGCTAACACCCTGTTGAAACACCACCAGCACAGACTCAGCAGGTGCTGTTGACAGGTCGACGGCTGTTGACTCGGTCGTGGGCCACAGTTCCGTGCCCTCTGTGTGCACAGTGCACCCTGCTCTGAGATCTCTGGTGCCTGATGACACTCCTGGGGTTTCTAGTTCAAGTGTTGTATGTAAAACGTTGTTAGATTTTGCTAAATCTCTTGCAAAATACTTTTTAAAAAAAATAAATCAGACATTTTTATTGTTTATTGTAATAATAACTGTGTGAGAATTTCCTCCCCAAAAAAAACAATGGAAATGGGTAGTGAGAGGTCATTTGCTTTGTAGAATTTTAAATTGAGACATAGGTATTACAACATTGTATTGCCTTAAGAGTACAGATAGAACAAAACCAGTGGTAGTGTCATAAAATAAAGCATGCAGTTCAGATTAGTGCATGATAAAAGTTATATTTAATTCAGGGAGCTCTGGGGTCCTTAGTGGCAAGAAGCTGTGCTGTACCTACAACCAGGAGAGGATAAAATAGATGAACGAGACCTTCTTTTTTGGGGGGAGGGTTGGGGTTTTGTTTCTTTAATTATTTTAGCACATCCAGGGAGGTAATATTCCACAACAGATATTCTCGAAACCAACGTTAGTCTTAACTGGAGAATTTGGATGAATTTTTCCCCCTATATAACGTCTTTCTTTTTATTGCTTTTTTTAAAATTAATTTTAATGAAAATTTACAGAGATTTTGGATTTCCATTCAGTCATTGTACTTTTCTCCCTGCTCACTTCCTCGCAGTTCGTTCTTCTCTTTAAAAAGTAAAAGACAAGTTCTTTCATTGTTAGAGAATTCCTCCCCCCAAGTCCACTCCACTATGCAGCCTTCGTTCTAGACTCATATCATGACAATAATACCTAATCACATATTTTAAACAGTTCTGTCATCTGTTTCAATGCAGTATACATAATTTATTCCATGTATCTCAGTCTCCCCTCAACCACTATGTCTGTCCCGTTTTACAACAGTGGCACCATGCAGTATTTGTCCTTTTGTAACAGATACTTCACTCAGCATAATGTCCTTCAGTGTCTTCCATTTTAAATAATATATCATGAGTTCCTTGTTTTTAAAATACAGCGTAATATTTCATTTTGTGAATATACCACAGCTTCTCTATCCATTCGTTTGTTGATGTACACTTAGTTGTTTCCAACTCTTTGCTGTTGTGAACAAAACTGCGATAAACATGGGTGTGTATATATCTGCTTGGATGGCAGACATGGTCTCTGGGGTATATTCCCAGTAGAGGAATTGGCTGGATCAAATGGTATCTCTATTTGCAACTTTTTGAGAAAGCGCCATACCGCCTTCCATAGTGGCTGCACCATTTTACACTCCACCAACAGTGAATAAGGGCTCCAGTTTCTCCACAACATTTGTTGTTTGCTGTTCTGTTAAATTCTGCTGTTCTTACTGGGGTGAGTTGGTATCTCATAGTTGTTTGGAATGAGACCTTCTAAGAATCAAATCCCTATGCACATCCAAAAAACGTCTCCAACAGGGTAAAAAGGGAAGCCACAGACTGGGAAAAAATACTTGGTAATGACATGTCTGATAACGGACTTATATCTAGAATTTATAGAGTACTCGAGCACCACAGCAAGATAAAGGTAAGCAACCCAGTTAAAAATGGGCACAGGATATGAACAGACACTTCACCAAAGAAGACATTCAGATGGCCAACAAACACATGAAGAAATGTTCAAAATCCCTAGCTCTAAGAGATGTGAATCAAAACAACTATGAGATACCATCTCATCCCAGTAAGAACAGGAAAATTCAACAGAGCAGCAAACAACAAAGCTGGTGAGGTTGTGGAGAAACTGAACCCTTATTTGCTCTTGGTGGGAATGTAAAATGTTGCAACCAGTGTGGAAGGTGGTGTGGCACATCCTCAAAAAGTTGCAAATAGAAATACCATTTGACCCAGCAATTCCACTATTGGGAATTTACCCTAAAGAAACCAGAACCACCACTCAAACAAATATGTGCTTATGTTTATCACAACTTTGTTCACAATAGTTAAGAGTTAGAAATAACCCAAGTGCCTTTAACAAAGGAGTGGATAGAGAAGCTGAGGTATATTCACACAATGGAATATTATGCTGCATTTAAAAACAAGGAACTCATGAAATATTCAAAATGGGTGACCCTGGAGGACATTATGCTGAGTGAAATATCTCAGTAACAAAAAGACAAATGCTACAGGACTGATAAAGGGTTGGGGAAGAACTAAGAAAAAAGGGGATAAATAATGTACACAGCATTGAAACAGACGAGGGAGAGGACTGTATAAAAGGAATATATGATTAGGTATTTTTGGCATGACAGGAGTCCAGAATAAGAGCTGCATAGTAAAGCGGTCTGTGGGGTGGGTGGGACTGTAGAACAATTAAAGAACTTTTTTTCCAAAGAAAAAGGGATCGGAGTGGGGCAGGGATTAAAATGTGCAACAATGAATGAATGGAATTCCAAGTTCTTTATAAACTTTTATTAAAATCTAAAAAAGGGGGGCGGGGAGAGCTGTGCTGCGGTCGCTGAGGTGCGCTGTTTGACTCCACTAGATGCTACACTGGAGAACGAGGGGCATTCTCCTCTTAATGCCAGTCAGATCCGACTCAGCGGTTCACACACATGCGCATGCGTGCGTTATATTTAATTAATAGTAGGATTGAAATAATTTTCAGTCCCTCAGGTAAAAAGAATCCCTTTATTTCTTTAAAGTGTGTGGCTCTGATGGGGAGAAAAAGGCTACAGACACCAGGTAGGCCGATGGGCGTTGATGTGCTCCAGTAAAACGGTGTGCAGTGGACCGTGTAATTGCTCAGAGGTTCACCTTTCCAACCTCAAGTCCAAAAGAAGCTTAAATTAATTTCCTGTCTCACTAACAAAACTTCTAGACAGCTTAAAGTTCCAGTTACAAAAAAATGAAAGCAGAAACAATGATTCTGTTATAAAATGATGAAATATTTTATGACCTCAAAGAGATATTCTTGACCGTAATAGGTTCGTTACCTGTCTTCAAGTCAGCTGATTTCTCAGAAATGATTTTTTAACTTTGAAGT